AATGAAGCAACATTCTCATCAAACAAAACCTTATATTATCAATTTTCTTGCTCAGTTGGTAGAGCGTCGATCTGGTAATTCGAAGGTCGCGGGTTCAAGACCCAGCCGCGGCAGACTTTATCTTTCTGCTTACGCTGGGTATGGAAATTATGAAATACAAACTCAAGAACATTTTCTACTTATCATATTACGGAGTGAACAATAACACAACATATCTAATATATATCTATTTATATTTATTGCAGGACTGTATATACATTTGACCATTGTATGCCATATTTTGGTATCCTTGAACACTGTGTATCATGAATGTATACAATATTTTGGTATATTTGAGTAACTTGGCCACCAGTCATGTCCCGTGATGTTTTGGTAGAGCTAGTGCATGGCAATGTATATAGCCTATGTCATATTGACGTATTTTAGTTATACTTGACCAATACACTGCATACTACCTGACCAATATAATTTATACTGTATTTCATATTATATGCATGCAGTTATGTAATAATTGACAAGCTTTCGATGGTAGAGATGCAACTACCTGAAAATATATAAGGCGAATTTCATCGTTTTGAGCGAAGGCCCTTCGTCTGGAGTTACGATATTCATATATTTTCAGGTAGTTGCATCCCTACCAACTTGTTCATTTTATTGGCACTCAGACCTGTCAAGTTTTGAAAAATTTTATGTGGGAAGGTAATTTCCTTAGGTTAATGTCCACGAGGTGCCCCACCATATAGTTGGGGAAAATGTGGAAATTTTTTTGTTGAAATTTTTTTGCCCCGGGGAAAATGTTGAAATTTGAGTTCTCCAAATCGCCAGAAAATTGCCTTTCCGAGGTTTTCTGCCGCCTGTTTCGAAGCACACACCTTATGTGTTCATGCTATAAAAATATGAAATGTTAGCGTCGCTCCTCCTTCCCAAACGGAAAAAAATAGCGCTCTCAGGCTCAGGAGTCTCCAAGCTTTTTGTCTTTTTTTTATATGCGATTGAGACACACATTTTCAAGACTTCTCAAGACTTCTGGGCACTGGCGTTAGCAAAAAGAATGCATTGAACATTGTGCAAATCAAAAGAAATGGGAGTAATTGGCCCCGGCACAGGAAGAAGCCTCGACAAGTTGAGTTTAAAAATGCGGGAAGAAAGTCACTTCATGCGTGATGCGTGAAAGCAAACAAAAATGCGGGAATTTCACGGTAATTGCGTGAAACTTGGAAGGTCTGGGCACTACCTACACTGGCAAAGTCAGATCAATGACAATGTAATAACTGCCTAATTTATAACATACATGTATCTCACTTCTAGTGGCTACCTGACTAGTGTAATAATAATAATAATAATAATAAAAATAGTAACAAAGATTTATATATTAAAGAATTTCTACATCTATTAGCTTTTAGATAAAAAAGTATATTTATTAAATAGAAATGAAAATGTATAAGATCTACATATATAATATGAACTTCGGTGTTGTTGAGCACTCTGCAGGGCCTTTTTTTTTGCTCGAAAATTTATGCTAACTATACTTGTATTTGAAATAAAAGAAGGAAAAATGCACAAAAAATTAAAAACAATTATTAGCAATAATTTATCATGATTACTTTGTGTTAGAAAAACGTAACAATTTAAGTCGATCTTGTTAAACAAGGACAAAGGATGAAGCCTAAAACATACTTTCCGTTTACCTATTTGTTATTCTTCGCTTGTTTGTTTGTATAAATTTAGGAAAAAGGGACTTTTCCTGGGGGGGGGGGGGCATTTTCCCCCAGCTTGTATGTTAAAAAAGAACCTGGCACTCTGTGGACTTTAATGGGTATCAATTTAACCATAACACAAAGCTCACATCCCTTGTGGTTGTTGGAGCACTCTGGCCCTATGACGCTCTGGGCATGTCTGGATGTGTTGGTTCACTATATGTTGTACCACAATTGTGCTTGGTGAGAGCAAGCTGTGTGTATAAAATTGTTTTGCTTAGTACTTTACATTTTTCATTAAAGTAGTCGTATCCCTTTCACATTGCAGCTGTCTATATACATACTCAACCAATTTGGGTTATAGATTGATCATTTATGTGCCAGAACTCAGAAACCGATTAATATAAAACATTGACACTTGGGATGTTACCAGTTAGGCCACTACAAGTTAATCTTTAGTTTCTGGTCCGGCCTTACCTTCGTTTACGATGTGGGCGGGCGGGTGGTTAGGACTATAGGACATAATTACAATTGTGGCTTTTCATGCTAATTGTATCAAAATGTTATGAAATTTTACATAAATTGCATTTATATTATTTATAAATCGACATGTACGACAGATTACAAAGGATTTTACATATCAAAATGATCTATTAATATTTCTAGTTTTTTTACCTCGTAATCTCGATAAGGCAGCGGTTTTTACCATTCAATACTACATTTTGCTAGGTCTTTTTAGTGTAAATTGAATATTTATCGTTCTATAAGTTAAATCCTTCGCGAAAATTTTCAAGAACTAGAAATTAATTGTAAATAACAAAATAGTCCTGAAATAATACTTTACGGAGAAAGGACGCGGGCGGCGGACCAGAAACTAAAGATTAACTTGTAGTGGCCTTACCACAGCATTAATATTGAAAGTATATTAGCTAGATCCAACAATTACAAAGTCGTTTGTCAATTGAAAATAATTTATTTTCTATTTGAATTATTTATTTTCTATTTTCTATTTTCTATTTTCTATTTTCTATCTGAACAACAGAATAGGATAACATTATGCACCTATCAATGTTTCCCCCCACAGGACTTTGACTACACTATAAAGCCCTAGTGAGGGGAATTTATATAATACTTTATTGAATTCTGATCGTTTAATTGGCTGTTTATGGTCACGTGATATTGAATAGGAAATTCCATTTCCCAATGAAGAAATTCCATTTTCCATTGCACTCTTGCGAGCTAGTGCAATTGTACTATACGTTTTATTCCATTGCACTCTTTGTGTTTTCGATAAATCGCATCCGTCAAAATGCTTCTCGTACGGTGATCGCAGTTTATTTTAACCCGATATTCGAAACTCAGTAAATGGGGATTTAATGCAAATACATGACTCGTCAAAATGGCGGGAGCTTACAGTAAACTTTTTAATATTAGTCTATTTTGGTATTATATAAAACAAATAATGAATGTTTTTATTCGTGCAATGGTAAGAATATTTTCATTCGGTAAAAGATGGAATGTTCCATTCAACTCAGCTGTCGCCTCATTGAATGGAACATTCCATCTTTCACCGAATGAAAATATTCTTACCATTGCACTCATAAACATTCATTATTTGTATATTGACCTATGCATCAACTCCAGAGCATCAACTCCCAGAGTCGGGAAATTTCGACATCCGCCATCTTGAAAGTTTGCGCGGTTCTGACGTTAAAAGGCCTGGTAACAAGTATGGTGGAGAAGATAAAGTTTCATCAAAAAAGTTATTTTATACACAGTGTCTCAATTTTTGTCAAGTTTAAACCAGTGTAGATTGTATGTTCGTGTTGGAAAACATATGTGTGCCTTGTTATCTTAGGCCTAGAGTGGGGAATTTTGACAGCCTTCCCTTGCCAGTGGCGCCGCCAGCTCGATAATTTGGGGGGGGGGGGGGGA